CTGCTATTTCCTTATTACAACACTTAGACTGCTTATGTCAGCGGTCGCCAACCGATGGTCCGTGGACCACTGGTGGTCTGCAAGAAAATTTTGGTGGTCCGCAGAAAAATCTGGACATTATTTGCATTTCTAAGAAATTCTTATATTCTGAATGACAGTTTTCCCCTTTATATTGCACTAAATTCACAAACTGTACTAGAGAGGGGGAATCAAGAGAGGTGCAGCATGACGTGAGGGTAACTTCAAGTTGCATGAGGCAATCATTGCCGAGCTGTATGCTTCAGTATTGTCCGTACCAGTCTCGGCTTGAAATAAAAACAGCTCTCCATTTTGCAGTAATGTAATTGGAGCCAAAAATCCATAAACTTATTTCAAACAAGCAGGATCAAATGGGTATGGGGGGAGGGCCTGAACATGGTGCCAGGAGGCCGATGAATATAGGAGCTCCTGATGTCCGCCTCGACGATGTAGCCTGTGCCAGTCTGCCCCTTACACACACTGGTTGGTAGTGCTGGCCGGCGTCCAGGAACCGGTGGTGGGGCTGGAGAGGACAGTACGGTGATCGGCTTGTTCTGCAGCAGCGGGAGGCTGATCCCAGCTTCCTGCGGGTCCGGCACCCATCGACGGAGACGCTCCCTGGAGGGGTCCTGGAGGAGAGTTAGGAGTTGGAGGTGCCTGAAGGACCCCATGAGGGCGGCTAAACATGGGGCTGTGCCAACTAAGAAAGCTGATAACCTGGGGGACTGAAAAAGCATAAGACATCTGAAGACAAGGTACTGCAAGCAAGCCGCCCAGACCCCCCTGAGGATACAAGTCCCACAGCAGAATAGAAGAAGCGTAGAGGCAGAGGGATCCGGGACATCGGAAAGGGATGATGAGTTGCCGTGAGTAATGGCTGAAGATGTAAATTCCCACTGTCTGTTTTTGTATTGGCAAATGTATACCTGATGTCAGGGAGCGAGGAGCCAGACACACAAGGAGGTGCAAGTAAAGGTAGGTTTATTTACACAGAAACAAGGCAAGAGTCTATGCAAGTCCGACAGCAACAGCGGATGACTTGGTAGGACAGAAATTCTCCTGCCGAGGTCGTCTTCCAGGATAATCAAGTCGAGAACCAGCGGGAATCGTAGTCAAAGCCGGGGTCAGAAGCCAGGAAGAATGGTCGCCAGAGCCGGGGTCAGAAGCCAGGAAGAATGGTCGCCAGAGCCAGGGTCAGAAGTCAGGAGGAGTCTTAGCCAAAGCCGAGTCGGTATCCAGGAGAACAAAGAGTTAACTAAACAGGAGCTTGCTGCTGTGCAACAGACAGGACACGAATGCAATGGACAGCTGCAAACAGCAGACTAAAATGTGATAAGCCGCCACCTCCTGGGAGGAGCCGCAGAGGGTTGAAAGCATAAAGGATCCCACAATGCTTTGCAGACCTAAGATGGATGCCAGCACATGGAGCAGCACAAGCCCTGAGGAAAGGTAGGACCTTGATACCTGAGTAGTGGGGCTGGGTGTTTGGAAGATCAAGAAATGTGAATAATACAGAATTTAAGCACTAATATAAAGAACGTAAGCACATGTAAAGCTATCCAGGACTGTACAAGCTTCCTAGGAGGAGTAGAAAGGAGGGACTCTTTCTTTCTCTTTATCTCCTCCTCAGATCTGACAATACGGTTGTTTGAAGTTTAAGTTAAAATCGCTGCTGCTTAGTCAAAATGAAGAAAAGACCCATTAAAGGGGGGGGGTAAAAACCCTGCAATCCAATGCAAACACTAGTGCAATAAAGAAATATATGCCGTTACAAGAAAAAAGCCCAGAGTTCCAAAGTATGAAGAAACAACAGGAAGGAATTAGAAAATATGATGGTGAACAATCTAGACTGTTATCTGGAGCAAGGGAAGGGAATGCGATCAATTCATCTATAATTGTCGATAATGTAAACGATCAAAAAGTTTTGGAACAACAAAGTAAAATATCACAAATACCTACAAGATTAGAAATGGCGGAACTCTCCATGAAAAATGAAATGGCGATATTTCACAAGGATTTGGGTCTATTGTTAACAAGGTAGAAGAGGTAGAGGTACAAGCCCAGCAGAGTATTAACCATTAGCCGCCCAGCCAATGGCCGTTTGGCGGCTTCAGAAGTGTCTCTGCACTCCGGGTGCACGCCATTTGGCGTGCTCCCGCACATGCGCCGTTTGCGCTAATGCAGAGCGGCGCAGCAGTGCGATCTGTCACCGGCCGTGCACCTCGGACACGGCCGATGACAGATCCGAGTACCGGCTCCCGTTGCTGGTACCATGTGACCTGCTGTGACCAATCACAGCAGGTCACATGACAGTTGTATACAATGGATGGCTTCATTCATGATGCCATCCATTGTATACTAGTGCCTAGCTGTGAATGGTCACAGCTAATCACATGCACATGTCATATGATTAGCTGTGACCAAATCACAGCTAAGCACAAAAAAAAAAAAAAAAAAAAAGCTTAATGAATCGATTTCATTCAGGTAAATGCTTGCTTATAGCAAAGTAATTCTTTGCTATAAGCAAATTGTGTAAAAAAAAAACAAAAAATACTGATCACTTCCCTAAAGTAGTACAATGTTACTATGGTAACATTGTACTACTTTGGTCATAGTAAAATATGAAAAAAAAAATCTTAAAAAAAATATAATAAAGAATTAAATATAATAAAAAAAAAAAATATATATATATATATATATTTTTTTTTTTCATACTGTCACCAGTCAGTGTCCCTGTTCACTGCCATGCCAGTTATATGATGACGCTGTACTGCACTGGTGACAGTATGTAAAAAAAAAATAGTGAAAATAATTTTTTTACTTTTTTCATTTTCCGAAAAATTATGACAAAAAAATACAACTTCAAAAAACTCGCCATGCCTCTTATGAAGTACGTCGGACTGTCTACTTTGCAAAAAGGGGTCATTTGGGGATATCTGTACTATTCTGACATTCTTGGACCTCAAGAAATTAGATTGGCTGTCAGTACTTCAGGATTGATCAATATTCAGATCTATACCATAGTTTGTGAACTCTAACTTTCCTACAAACTAAAAAATACATCCTAATTTGGGTTATTTTCACCAAGACATGTAGCAGAATACATCTCGGCCTAAATTTATGAAGAACAATTATTTATTTGTAAACTTTTATAACAGAAACAAAGAAAAATGTGTTTTTTTTTCAAAATTTTTGGTCTTTTTTTTGTTAATTTAGCAAAAAAATAAAAACCCCAGCGGTGATTAAATACCACCAAAAGAAAGCTCTAGTTGTGTGAAGAAAAATGATAAAATTTTAGTTTGGGTACAATGTTGTATGACCGCGCAATTGTCATTCAAATTGTGAGAGCGCTGAAACCTGAAAACTGGCCTGGGCAGGAAGGTGTAAAATTGCCCGGTATTGAATTGGTTAATCTTCAGAAGCAAGTAGAGGAGATGAGAAGGGAACAGAGGGTGCTCTCTTTCAAGCTGGAGGATCAAGAGAATAGAGGGAGAGAACAATCTAAGAGTCCGAGGATTACCAGAAGATGCACACGAGGAGGACTTTAGAGAAAAAATAAGAGTGTTTAACCCATAATGGGTAGAGCAGTCTCAGAACCATTGAAGATAGAGAGAGTATACAGGTTAAGGTGTCCACCAGGAATAACAACACACATTCTTAGAGATGTGATTGTCTGCTTTCATCATTATGAGGATACGGGAGAACCCTGAAATAAGATTCATAGAATCGAACTTGCAGGTCTTTGCGGACATTGCATTCAAGACATTAGCGAGAAGAAAATTGTTGAAAACATTTGTTGGATCAGATGAAGGAGAAAACAATTCGATACAATTGGGAGTTCCCAGCATGTCTGATTGGATGGAAGGATGGGAAGTCGGCAAAACTAAGATTCCCAGAAGAATTTAGTGACTTTTGTGATAAACTGGAACTGCAGAATGTGGACATTGAGGGATGGTCAGAAGGGCCGAACAAAAGTGTAAGGCCAAGAAAAGAGAAATGGCAGCCAGTTAACAAAAAGAGAAGATGGGGGGGATTGGGAGGGGAGGAGGAGGTGATGGGGGGATGGGTGAAGATGGGGGGGGGCAGTAAATCTTGCCCCTCCCCTTTAATAATATTTTTTTCTCTCTCCCCACCTTCCCTAACCCCCCTTCTAGTACTAGTAGTAGTACCTTCTAGTAGGAGTAGCGTGAGGAAGGAGGGATGGGAGGGGGGGGGTATAAGAGGAAGGTCCATGATTTTTGTGGTATATATTCCCTTCCCTTCCAATAGAAATTCAGAACAAGAAAAGAAATATTAAATGAGTATGAGCTGGAATAATCTCATGACCTACATTGTAAAAGGTTTAAATTCTCCCACAAAAAGGCATAAGATACTTAGAGAAATTCATCAACATTCTATAGGTGTAGTGTTCTTACCAGAGACACATTTAACATATGAATCCAACGTAAAGCTATACTTGTGGTATTATACAACCTGGTACTATGCAGACTAACCAATAAAGAGGGCTAAGGGAGTAACGATTGGGTTTTCGAGGAATGCAGGTTTTGATGAAGAGAAGAGATTGGTAGACCCAGAAGGTCAGTATTTGTGTGTAAGAGGGAAAATGCAGGGAAAAAAATGTACATTGGCTAACATATACTGCCCAAATCAAAATCCAGAGGTATTTTTACAGGGAGTGTTGGGGAAAATTATGGACTTTAAGAGGCGTAGTCTGATCCTGGAAGGGGATTTTAGCCACTTGCCTACCAGGCACTTATACTCCCTTCGTGACCAGGCCAATTTTCAGTTTTCAGTGCTGTCGCACTTTGAATGACAATCTCGCGGTCAAACAACACTGCACCCATATGAAATTTTTATCATTTTTTTACACATAGAGCTTTCTTTTGGTGGTATGTACTCACTGTTGGGTGTTTTATTTTTTTTCGCTATAAACAAAAAAGAGCAAACATTTTTTTAAAAAATAGGTTTTCTTTGTTTCTATTATAAAATTTTGCAAACAGGTACTTTTTCTCCTTCACTGATGTGCATTGATGAGGCTGCACTGATAGGCAGCACTGATGGGCACTGATAGGCAGCACTGATGGGCGGCACTGATGGGCACTGATAGGTGGCACGGATAGGCAGCACTGATAGACAGCACTGATGAGCTGGCACTGATATGCAACAATGATGGGCACTGATAGGCGCCACTGATTGGCACTGAAAGGCAGCACTGATGGGTGGCACTGCTGGGCACTGATTGGTGGCACTGCTAGGCACTGATTGCTGGCACTGCTGGGTAGGTCTGATAGGCTGCACTGATTGGTGCACTGCTGGGCACTAGTGAGTGGCACTGCTTAGCACAGGTGGGTGGCACTACTAGGCACAGGTGGGTGGCACTGATGGGCACATGTGGGTGGCACTGCTGGGCACAGGTGGGTTCCACTGCTGGGCACTGATCATCAGTGCCCTGATGATTGGTGCCGATCCGTCCTCTGACAATTGCTGTAGTACTTTAACAGCGTGAGTAAAGTGTAGCCGATAACCAGCAACTGCATTTACTGGTGATCTGTGTCATTGAACACGGCTGATTACGTGGTAAAAGGCCACTGTGATTGGCCTTTTACCACATCACGTGATCAGCTGTGTCCATAGTACACAGCGATCATGGAGATTGCTGGGTGCACGCTCCTGGGGGTGCAGGGGAGGGCACGTCATATGACACCCTCCCAGATTAACGTTTACCCAATCTAATGGGACTATTAGAACAAACCTGAAAATAAACCCCACAAAGTCAGAGATTTTGAATGTTAACATTTCAAAGAAAGCAGACCCTACAAAAGGACTTTCCATTTACATGGAGAGAGAAGGAATTAGGTTACTTGGGAATAAAGTTAACTCCCTCAATAAAAAATATATATCAGGCAAATTACATACCATTAATAAATGAAATAAAAGAAGAGCAGAGAAGAATCTCAAGGGGCAGGATCTCTTGGATTGGCCGTATAAATCTCGTTAAGATCTAGTTAAGATGGTGATAGTTCCCAAAATCTGTATAAATTTCATATGTTACCTGTTTATGTACTGGGATCCTTTTTTGGGATAATAAAAAAATATTCCTTAAATATATCTGGCCTAATAATAAGCCGAGAATTAAATATGAAGTTTTGTGTACAGATAAAAGGAAAGGATTAAATTTGCCTAATATTAGGACATATTATTAGAGATGAGCGAAGTATTCAAAAATTCGATTCGGCTGATTCGGCGAATTCGAGGAATAAATTTGATTCGAGGCGAATATATTCGCTGCGAATTTAACTTTAAAAAGGGTGTTTTCTAGGCTTCAGAGAGCCTTTATATTAGTGCAAAACACTGTACCTTTAATTTAAATGCCCTTGGAGTCTGCTGGGGAAGAGAAATAATACTGTCAGTCAGTATGACATGCAGATGAGTGCCGTCGATCTTAGAATCACCGCACACTTCACTCATTTGGGCAGTCACGGGGCCAAAACCAGAGTGTGGAGCCACAGTGTGGCGGTGGAGGCAGCAGCAATGGGAGGCCATACAGCACCCTATGACAAAATGGAACCCACCAGCAGTGTGAGGAGACCTGAAAAGTGGCACATGGCAGAGTGTGGCGATGGAGACAGCAGCAATGGGGAGGCCGTACAGGGACCCATGAGACACTCTGGACCTGGCAGCAGCATGAGGAGGCGGTACAGGGGCCCATGACAGATTACGGGCCTGGCAGCAGCATGAGGAGTCGGTACGGGGGCCCATGGCAGATTACGGGCCTGGCAGCAGCAATGGGAGGCCCGTAATCTGCCAGCACCCTATGACAAAATGGAACCCACCAGCAGTGTGAGGAGACCTGAAAGTGGCACATGGCAGAGTGTGGCGATGGAGACAGCAGCAATGGGAGGCCGTACAGGGACCCATGAGACACTCTGGACCTGGCAGCAGCATGAGGAGGCGGTACAGGGGCCCATGACAGATTACGGGCCTGGCAGCAGCATGAGGAGTCGGTACGGGGGCCCATGGCAGATTACGGGCCTGGCAGCAGCAATGGGAGGCCCGTAATCTGCCAGCACCCTATGACAAAATGGAACCCACCAGCAGTGTGAGGAGACCTGAAAGTGGCACATGGCAGAGTGTGGCGATGGAGACCGCAGCAATGGGAGGCCGTACAGGGACCCATGAGACACTCTGGACCTGGCAGCAGCATGAGGAGGCGGTACGGGGGCCCATGGCAGATTAGGGGCCTGGCAGCAGCAATGGGAGGCCCGTAATCTGCCAGCACCCTATGACAAAATGGAACCCACCAGCAGTGTGAGGAGACCTGAAAGTGGCACATGGCAGAGTGTGACGATGGAGACAGCAGCAATGGGAGGCCGTACAGGGGACCCATGAGACACTCTAGACCTGGCAGCAGCATGAGGAGGCGGTACGGGGGCCCATGGCAGATTACGGGCCTGGCAGCAGCAATGGGAGGCCCGTAATCTGCCAGCACCCTATGACAAAATGGAACCCACCAGCAGTGTGAGGAGACCTGAAAGTGGCACATGGCAGAGTGTGGCGATGGAGACAGCAGCAATGGGAGGCCGTACAGGGACCCATGACACACTCTGGACCTGGCAGCAGCATGAGGAGGCGGTACAGGGGCCCATGGCAGATTACGGGCCTGGCAGCAGCAATGGGAGGCCCGTAATCTGCCAGCACCCTATGACAAAATGGAACCCACCAGCAGTGTAGGAGACCTGAAAGTGGCACATGGCAGAGTGTGGCGATGGAGACAGCAGCAATGGGAGGCCGTACAGGGACCCATGACACACTCTGGACCTGGCAGCAGCAAGAGGAGGCGGTACAGGGGCCCATGGCAGAGGCCGCGTGGCGAAGCGTAAGCAGCTTAAATTGAAGGCCATACAGAGGCCTATGTTAAAAATAATAACATGTTTGGGGCATGATTCATGGCGGATTTAGTCAGTTGTGTCAGGAAACTGGTGGTTTGAAATCCAGACTAATCCACGCCTGATTCATTTTCACACAAACGTGAGTCTCTCCACACTTTGGGTGGACAGTCGTGTCCTCCGCGGAGTTACAATACCTCCTGCCGCACTAAACACGCGCTCCGATGCCACGCTACTGGCCGGGCATGACAGCCTTTCAAGGGCAAATTCAGCTAGTTGGGGCCAAAGGTCAAGTTTCGTTGCCCAGTAGTCAAGGGGATTGTCTACCTCGGTTGGCAGGGTGCTGTCCAAGTAGGCCCGAGCCTGTTGTTTGAGGTCCTGCTCCAGGTCCACCTGATGCTGATGCTGCTGCTGCTGCGGCTGGTTAGTAGTTTCCTCACTGCGCTGGTGAAGAAAGCTACTCATCATCGACTGCAGACTGAGGCAGCTGCTGCTGGTGGAGCTGCCACTGCTCCTACCACCCCACCCCTCCCCTGCTGCCATGGCAGCGGAACGCGAGCGCACAGGGCCCACAGTGTCTGAGGATGGACGTTGGCGCAGAAAGGCAGAGACCAACTGACTACATAGGTGGTTTTTATAGTACGTTATTTTGGCCTCCCTCTCAGCAGGTGTGAAAAAGGCCACCATTTTTGAACGGTAGCGAGGGTCCAACAAGGTGGACAGCCAAAAGTCATCCCTCTGTCTGATGGTTATTATTCGGCTGTCGCTACGCAAGCAAGCGAGCATGCTATGGGCCATTTGTGCCAAGGAATGCGAGGGACTCCCTGCCTCCATCTCCACAGCATACTGCCACGGTGCGTCTGGGTCCTCTGTCTCCTCCTCCTCCTCTACCAGATGCTCCTGCTCCTCCACTCCTGTCCGCTGAGTGGAAAAACCACCCATTTCACTCAATAATTCCTGAGCACCAATGTCCTCCTCTACCTCCTCCCTCTTCTTCCTGTCCTGCCCCCACAGGGGTCATGTGGCGTTGAGATCTGTGCGCCACGTCTACCGCACCCTGACCAGCCATTGTTAACAGCATTTGTTCCAGGACGTGCAACAGAGGAATGACGTCGTTCATCCCATAGTCCTGCCGACTCACGAATAGCGTGGCCTCCTCAAAGGGCCTGAGCAAGCGGCAGGTGTCACGCATGAGCTGCCAATGGCTGACATCTAAGTTACACAGGGGAGTACCTTTATCCGCTTGTAACATCAGGAAATCGGTGATGGCCTTTCGCTGTTCGTAAAGGCGGTCTAACATATGTAGGGTTGAATTCCACCTTGTTGCAACGTCGCAGATCAGGCGATGCTGTGGAATTCCGTTCTGCCGCTGCAGCTCAAGGAGGGTGTGCTTTGCGGTGTAGGAATGGCTGAAATGCATGCAAAGTTTACGTGACATTTTAAGGATGTCTTGCAGTGGGATGGTGGATTTTGGAACCGCTTGACAACCAGATTGAACACGTGAGCCATGCATGGCGCATGGCACAACCTTCCTTGACGCAGAGCAGACACCATGTTCTTTCCGTTGTCGGTCAACATGGTTCCGATTTTCAGTTTGCGCGGAGACAGCCATCTGTCGATTTCTCTGTTCATTACACTCAGAAGTTCCTCCCCTGTGTGACTACGTTCGCCAAGGCATACCAGGTGCAGCACAGCGTGACACCGTTGCGCCCTGCACATGTGATATGCCGGTCGGGTAATGGGACTTGGCACGGGGGTGGCGGCTGAGGACACGGCGGAAGAAGAGGTGGTAGAGGCGGACATCTTTGCTGGACCAAGGACGTGCAAACGTGGAGGCAAAAGCGGCGTGACCTGTCCAAGTTGCTGGTGCGGCTGTGCCGGCACCACGTTCACCCAGTGGGCCGTAAATGACATGTACTGTCCCTGACCGTAGTTACAGCTCCACACGTCGGCGCTGCCGTGCACTTTGGCAGAGACCGACATGCTCAAAGACTGGCCCACCATCTCTTCTACATGTGAATGCAGGGCTGGCACTGCCTTTTTGGCGAAGAAATGCCGGCTTGGCACTCTCCACCGCGGCTCGGCACAAGCCATCATTTCTCGGAAAGGTGCTGAGTCCACCACTTGGAAAGGGAGGGACTGCAGCACCAGCAACTTGGACAGGAGGACGTTCAGCTTCTGCACCGTCGGGTGCGTGCTCGCAAACTGTTGTCTCTTGGAAACGGATTCCAAGAAAGACTGCTGACGGAATCCGTGAAGAGGAGTAGCAGGAGAAGGAGAGCAGCATCTGAACGAGCGGAAGATGCCAACGAGCGACAACTCCCCTCAGCAGAGGTGTTGGAGCCCTTGACTGGCTGATAGAGGGCGATTGACGTCGGGTGACGGAGCAAGTAACGGAGCGGGTGATGGAGCGGGGGCTGGGGCAGGCAGAACCGCCGTATCTTTATCACGGTTTTCCCAGGCCACCAAATGGCGACGCTGCATATGCTGACGCAACGCTGTAGTCCCAACATGGGCCCCCTGGCCACGCTTGACTTTCTGGCCACATAGTCGACATACGGCTACGTTTACTTCCTCGGGCGGCTTGACGAAAAAATTGCCACACCGCCGAGTAGGAAACTTTGCCCCCGCTACTCCTCACTGGCTGACTGCTACTTCCTCCTGTGCACACCGGCACCACTACTGGCCGTGGTGGTAGGCTGCAGTGGAGCTGGTGCTCTACTCCGTGGCCGTTTGCCTCCACTGACACTGCTGCGACCCTGCTGCCTCCTGGGCAACCCACCGACTGTTTTGCTGCTGCCAAAGCTGGCACCCTCTTCTCCTGATGATGCGGAAGCAATAGCCTGATGACGACGAGGCTGCCAAGTGCGATCAGCCTCATCATCATCAATTAGGGTCTCCGCCTCACTACTAGCCCCCTCGGCTGCGTGTGGGTCAGGAGACAGACCTGTCTCTAGACCGGCTACCGAGCCCACTCTCCTCGCCAGTACTTCTTCGCCTGGCTGCTGAAGAGGCGGATGTCTCCCCCCGTTCCTGACCGCCCTCTGTTAGCTCTTCCTCACTGTACAGTGGGGCTGAGCCCACAGCATGCGATACTTCGCTTGGTGAGGGAACACCAAAGGACAGGGGCAGGTAGAGGACACGTGATTTCAGTGGGCTTGCTCCCGGGCCATGCCAACTAACGGTTGTGTCTGACGTACCCACGACCGTTGGCTGTAGGTGTCAGAGGTGACCTGGGAAGAGGAAGACGACCGAGCCAACCAATCGATGACGGCAGGGTTGTCGGTGGAGACACGACCGCTGGATGACACCGGGAGCACTGGCCTCTGGCTGCGACTAGTGCTGCCTCGACCCCTTCCTCTGCTGCCACGTCTGCTCGCTCCTAAAACATGGCCTCCTCTGACACTCCTCTGCGTGTTGTCTGACATACTCTTTAATTCAACGATTCTGTGTCCCTGAGTAACGATTCTGTGTCCCTGAGTAACAGTTCTGTGTCCCTGAGTAACAATTCTGTGTCCTGAGTAACAATTCTGTGTCCCTGAGTAACAATTCTGTGTCTGTCCCTGAGTAACAATTCTGTGTCCCTCAGTAACAATTCTGTGTCCCTCAGTAACAATTCTGTGTCTGTAACCTGTGTAAGTAATTCTGTGTCCCTGAGTAACAATTCTGTGTCCCTCAGTAAACAATTCTGTGTCTGTCCCTGAGTAACAATTCTGTGTCCCTGAGTAACAATTCTGTGTCCCTCAGTAACAATTGTGTCTGTCCCTGAGTAACAATTCTGTGTCCCTGAGTAACAATTCTGTGTCCCTGAGTAACAATTCTGTGTCCCTGAGTAACAATTCTGTGTCCCTCAGTAACAATTCTGTGTCCCTCAGTAACAATTCTGTGTCCCTGAGTAACAATTCTGTGTCCCTCTGAGTAACAATTCTGTGTCCCTCAGTAACAATTCTGTGTCCCTGAGTAACAATTCTGTGTCTGTCCCTGAGTAACAATTCTGTGTCCCTCAGTAACAATTCTGTGTCCCTCAGTAACAATTCTGTGTCCCTCAGTAACAATTCTGTGTCCCTGAGTAACAATTCTGTGTCCCTGAGTAACAATTCTGTGTCCCTGAGTAACAATTCTGTGTCCCTGAGTAACAATTCTGTGTCCCTGAGTAACAATTCTGTGTCCCTGAGTAACAATTCTGTGTCCCTCAGTAACAATTCTGTGTCCTGAGTAACAATTCTGTGTCCCTGAGTAACAATTCTGTGTCCCTCAGTAACAATTCTGTGTCTGTCCCTGAGTAACAATTCTGTGTGTGTCTGAGTAACAATTCTGGTGTCCCTCCGAGTAACATTCTGTGTCCCTGAGTAACAATGTGTCCTGAGTAACAATTTGTGTCCCTCAGTAACAATTCTGTGTCCTGAGTAACAATTCTGTGTCCCTGAGTAACAATTCTGTGTCCCTGAGTAACAATTCTGTGTCCCTGAGTAACAATTCTGTGTCTGTCCCTGAGTAACAATCTGTGTCCCTGAGTAACAATTCTGTGTCCCTGAGTAACAATTCTGTGTCCCTGAGTAACAATTCTGTGTCCCTGAGTAACAATTCTGTGTCCCTGAGTAACAATTCTGTGTCCCTGAGTAACAATTCTGTGTCCTCCCTGAGTAACAATTCTGTGTCCCTCAGTAACAATTCTGTGTCTGTCCCTGAGTAACAATTCTGTGTCCCTCAGTAACAATTCTGTGTCCCTCAGTAACAAT